TTCATCTCTATACCAAATTACCCAAATATTTCATCTCGAAGGTGCGGGAGTGCGGGGGTGCGGGAGTGCGGGGGTGCGGGAGTTTTGTTTCTTTTTTTCATTGCTCGTAATATTTCTGGTAGCAATTGTATTTCTGGATGCTTTTTCCAATATTTTTTCCAATTCTCAAGACTATAATATGATAATTAGAGTGTACGTAGTAGTATACAGATTGAATTGTTTTGCACTTCCAAGAAGCTTTCCCGGGGAAAATGTCTGGGGGAAATGTCAGCTTGGAGTCGAGTAGGTAGATAGATGATTGTACTTATTGATGAGTGAACGCATCAATCAGAGGAGAATGAATGAGTGCTGCGGTCTTTTTTCTCTTCTTCCATCTCTGATTGCCCGCCTCCGCCAACACTAATACCCTTATTATCTATTCACATTTATCCCTGAAACAATTTATTCTTCTGTTGTTTAGGGACCGTACTTTTGTATTATACAATAAACAGAATGTTACGTAGATTCGTGTACGTGAAATAAAGTGTGGTTGGTTTTATAGATATAATTAGTAAATGATGTCATCAAAAATACCCAAATATTTCATCGATTCTTTATGATCCGGAACGAATTCTTCCATATATTCATTGTGCCGGATATTGTCATCCTTTCCATCCCGGAGTTCCCACATCGTACCTCAAAAATCCCCGGTGTTATTTTGTTTGGTTTTTCTCACGTCCCTTGCTTCTTACCTCAGCATTAGATATTTCTCCTTTACATCAAGATAAACCTTACCTTTTCCTCGAAGTGCTTATTTTGTGCTTTGACACGTTTCCTGAACTCCTCCAAGAATCGTTTCTGTGAGCTCGGACAACCTGCAATACCGGTGATCACAGAATCTGCTTACTTCTTCAGTTCTTCGAGAGTGATAGCCACTAATTTTCTCGCTATATAGGGAAACATCATAATGGCATGGCCATCCCCCTCTCGGCATTCTTCCAAATCGGTCAGGGACCGCTTTCAGCACCTCTCCTCGCCACCTGTTGTGCGAAATTTCGATTCCGCGGACAAGTGCTTCAAGTGTGATCATTTTGATGGTACCGGGTTCCTGTACACTGCAGAGCGCTCTCGCACACACTTCAAATGGCTTTTTCTAACCGCATCTCTTTTTCCTTTGTTTTCATTTATGATTTCAGATGCAGATTTTTTCTGTTTACCTTCTGCGTATATACGCAGACCCGTGCCAGACACTTTTTTTTCTGTTTCTTGAATACAGCTACTCTAAGTCAACCGCTCAGCACCTCAGCGTATGATAGATATTCCAGTATTTGCGCATGTGAATTTTATATTTTTTTTTTGTTAGGTTTTGGTTATTTAACAATGACACTTCGCGTTTTGGTTACTGGTGCAGCGGGCCAAATAGGATATTCTGTGGTGCTGCAAATCGCCAAAGGTGATGTTTTTGGCCCAGAAATGGTAAGAATAAAAAAATTTCAAGTTGTTAACTTACTTTTACTAGTGTGGAATATTAAAAACTTACATGAGCGACTCTTGATGTTCTTCGTGAATTTTATCGTAAAATTTGATGTACTAGATGATTTAGTTTCAGACTCAGATTTTGATCGAATCTTGGTTATTATAAATCAAAATTAATGTCATTAGTTATGATTTCAAGACTGTGCAGCATCCAAGAACTGTCTGGTTTTTTTAAGAGAAATTTGTATCAAAATGTTACAGCCAATTGTGCTTGTGTTGCTTGATATACCGCCAATGCAGCAAGCACTTGAAGGTGTACAGTTCGAGCTGCAAGATTGCGCATTACCGACGCTCAAAGGTTATGCTTGAATTGTAAATGATGTTTCAATATTTAATAATAAGAGATTGATCGAAGAATATTCATATCGTCATGAATGCTTTAAATTTGCAGAGGTTATAGTAACAGTAAAAGAGGAAGAAGCATTCAAGGATATTGATTATGCATTTCTCATTGGTGCTATGCCACGGAAACAAGGTATGGAACGTAAAGATTTACTCTCTGCTAATGTGAAAATATTCAAGTCTCAAGGAATGGCCCTTGCTAAATTCGCTAAACCGACCACCAAAGTATATTTTACTCGATTTTATTTTGTGTTCTTTAATATGGCATTAAACAGAGGTTGAAGTTTTCTCTATCTAGTTAAAGAGCAAGTGCTTAATAAAATACTAAGTGCTTCATGGTTTTTTTAAGCACAGAAAAAATGCGAAATGGAGAGAAGTTATGAAGCCATGTTTTGGATGCGTAAATGTTATGATAATTTTTGAAATTTTTGTTTGTATTTTATTCAGTAATATTTTATTATTGAGCTGTAACTTCTATAGAACCGTTATTTTAATGTATAAAATTATTTTTTGATCATTGTTATAAATATTTAGGTTATTGTTGTTGGTAATCCAGCAAATACAAATGCATTCATTGCGTCAAAATTTGCTGCACCAACAATACCAGGGAAGAACTTTACATCTATGACCCGACTGGATCATAATCGTGCCTTGTCACAAATTGCTATGAAATGCAAAGTTGGAGTATGTTTTGATTTATTAAAATACTAGATTATTGAATAGGTGCCCTTAATAATTGATGGTTTAAAATTTAAAAGAGATGTCATTTATCCAATAATATTTCAGATTGAAGATGTGAAAAATGTAATTATATGGGGTAATCATTCGAGCACCCAATTTCCTGATGTTGCGCACGCTAAGGTTAACAAAGGTGGCCAAGTGATTGGTGCTGTTGAGGCCATCAATGACAAAGAGTGGATTGAAGGGCCATTCATCAGTGTACGATTTGTCTGATTAATTTTTGACTTCTTATAGTTCAGAAATTTAATTTATCCACTTTACATATTTGTGTCGCCCGTAACAGGTTTCATTTCTGGGATTGTCATTTCTGTAGTAGTTGTTTAAAGGTTGTCCAAAAGCGAGGAGCTACGATTATCGAAAAACGAAAATTGTCATCTGCAATGTCAGCAGCAAAAGCAGCTTGTGATCATATTCGTGATTGGCATTTCGGCACGAAACCGGTGCTAAATTTACTGTTTTTCATACCAGAAAGAAACATAAGATTGTTTTTTGGAAAAAAGGCATTCCAGCTTTTTAAGTAGTGATCCAATTGGTAGACTTCGTTCCATTTCGATCGATTTAGTCATGAAGTTCCTTATTAAATTTTTCTAGATTTTTTCAATTTGATTCAATTTTTTAAAGTTTCTAATTCAAGTTTTTGAATATCATAGTTCATACAGACCATTTTTACTGAAGTCTATATGAAAAAATAGGTATATTGTGGTAGTTGTTTTTTGAGGCTTATTAGAAGCACGAGAAGTTATATATAGAAAATATTAATTTTGTAATATATCGGCTGTTTATTTCCCTAATCAATATTAAAATTAGTTGGATGCATCCTTTTCTCTTTTAGAAGTAAATATAATGATTACTGAAATACGAAGATTATGTAGGATGAATGGGTGTCAATGGGCATCCCATCAGATGGCTCATACGGTATCCCAGCGGGACTCGTCTTCTCGTTTCCTGTTACCATCTCTGGTGGAGAATACAAAATCGTTCAAGGTTTAGAACTGAACGATTTTGCGAAGGAAAAAATTGCTATCACCCAAAAAGTATGAAATTTATCGAATATATTTTATTAAGATATTTAGGGAAATAATTGAAAGTAAGCGAAAGTAATATATTACAAATACAAAAGTATTTGCTTGATATATTTACTTTTCAGTTTAATATCCATATTCATTTAATTTTTCAAGTGTATGTTTAAATATGTTCAATATAGTTATAGGTCAAATGGCAATTATAAGTACATTGCATTTACTATAGATTCTCACATTTCATGATTTTACTTGCTAAGTAAAATTATTTTTTTCCGTTAAATTATTCAAAGTTTTTATTACGTTAAAATAACATATTCATAAGGGCTATAATTTATTGATTGAATTGGTCGAAATCTTACTCTTCGAGATCATGTATGGCGTTATTTAAGGAATTGGAAGAAGAACGTGATGAAGCTCTTCAAGCATGTGCTTGAAATAAGATGACATATTTGTTTAACTTTAAAGGCCGTTATCAATATAAGAAGACATCAGGCGTAATTATTTTAAGAGATTGCAGCAAGCTTTTATATTGATTTGTTGTCTTTCCATTTATAGAAGCATGTGGATGAATCAATTTATTTACTTAGATATTAATTTAAATGCTTTAATAAAATAGTGTTTTGGCGTTTTACAGCGAAATACATGGGCAATTGGATATTATAATGATTAAAGTTTCATAAAGCAATCATAATAGTGTCATATCGCAGTCCAAGGAAGTTCAAGATATCAACGTTGAGAAATGTGCATGCATAGAAACATTTACGATTATTTTAGGCATCTCAAATAGCAGATATTGTGTAAATGCTCATAATAAGTTGAAAAATCCTCAAATTTAGATGTGATGTGTCAGGATTTTGTAAAAGTTGTGGTGACAGGTGCCAGTTTTAACGATAAGTTTCCAGAAGAACAAATCGGTATTTGAGCAGATCGGCGTACTTCACTTCATGTTATGATGGAAAGCAAGAGTAGATCAAACTTTGATTTGGTATAAAAGATTTGAGTGGAAGATTTAAGTTGCCAAGGAAATTGTTCATTGAGCAGATATGGCCGTAATGCAAGTATAATTTTTGCACAGGGATGATTAGTATGTAGAAATGAATAAATATTTGCATAGGGATGGAAGGGAAGGTATTTTTGCTAATTAATATTTTCCTTTTTTGGTAATGAAAATTGTATGGCAAACTTCATTGCGCACAGAATTCATTTCTTACGACTTTTCGATTATCTTAAAAAGTTAAGCATAGAATTTGTGTGCAATTTCGTTCTATTCATTGGTTTTTTTTTT